ATTAAAATTAAAACTGAAAATTATCTCAATTGATATAATTTATTTATAGCAATTAATAAATTTATCTTATTATTTTTTACATAAGAAAGTATTCTTATAGTTAATTTAATGATTAATGAACAAACTTGTAACAATATCTAACAAAATATTATTATTAAATTTGATTAATTTTTATTATTTTGAATTTTTGTAATTTTAAATTTTGTTATTTTTGATATTTTTTATTTGTAAAAAGAATAAAATAAAAGAATTTTTGATATTTTATTATTAATTATACTATTATATTAAAAAATTACTATTATTATATTATATCTAACAAAATATTATTATTAAATTGATTAAATATTTTAATTTTTATTATTTTGAATTTTTGTTATTTTAAATTTTGTTATTTTATTATTTGGTTATTTTTAATATATTTTATTTATAATAAAAGAATTTTTAATATTTTATTATTAATTATATTATCTTAGTTTTGGAAAGTTTTATACAAGTACAAAGAATTATAATATAAAATACAGTTATCTTTAAAAGACAAAGAATTTTTATATAAAAATTATACAAAAAAAGAAGATTGCTATTTTGTAGTAAATAAATTTAACTATAAAATAGTAATACTTTTTTAAAATACTCATTTTTGACTAGTATTCATTTAAAAACTCGCTATTTTATATGATTAATAACTAATTGAAATAACATGATTTGTGATTATTGAATTAAATTTAATTAATCAATTATAAGTGAATTTTTTTATTTTATTAATATTATAATAAATTACTTAGCAAAAGACATGTATTTTATAATATTTATATAATTTTTTGCAAATAATCAAATTCTTTTGTTTTTTGAAATCAAAAATAAAACAAGTTATATAATTGAAATCTTTAAATGTTCTGTATTATAATATTTTAATTTTCTTTATTATTATTCTTTTATTATTTTATACTTTTAACTTTTATTCTTTTATAACTTTTTAATATTTTTATTATATCTTTAAATTATTATAATTTTTATAAAAATTTATATAGAACTTAAATATATTTCTTTTCTTTAATATTTATTTGTTTAATCTTTTCTTTCAATTTAAAATCAAGTTTATAAGCTAATTTAATAATTAGTAAACAAATTTGTAATATTTTATAATACCTTTCTTTATATATTTTAAATCTTTCAGATTCTTTTTTATACTCTTATTTCTTATTCTTTTAATTCTAAATAAATAAAGTTTATATTTATACTGAATAACTTATTAATAATTATTTCAAAAAATATATTTAAAGTCAAGATACAAACTCAAAATTATTTTCTTTTTGTTTTTATTTACTAAACAAATATTCTTTAATTTCAAAAATTTTAAAATTGAATATATTTACGTGAAATTACAGTGTATTTTTATCTATTCACAAAATTTTTAACAAATAATTAACCGCAATTCTAATATTTACAAATAATGCCAAATTCTATTAAAAATTTATCAATTTCTAAACAATTACCTATTGAGAATATCTTATTTCAATGATCAAGTATATCTCTTTGGATCTTTTTCATTACAATACTCAAAACAGACCAATTCATCAAAAGAAGCCAAAACATAACTCTCGAATCAGAAAATAACTGAAAAGATTAACAAGTAGTTATTAAAAAATAAAAGAAAAATTAGTTAAAAAACAACAAAATATTAATCTTTTTTAAGAATAATTGATTATTTAAACTAATAAAAAGAAAGAATCTGATAACTTTGATTAAGAACAATTATTAAAAAAAGAACTAGATTTTGAACAAGAAATAATTGAAGAACCAAATAATCAATCTAAATAATATTTTCAATGAACTAAATACTCTCACTACTGCTCTTATTTTCTCCATTTTTTAAAAATGAATTAATATTTATGACTAATTGGATAAAATTAAACCACATATTACTGAAATTTATTGGAATAGTGGCTGAATTTGGCCTGGTGCATCATGAGATATCATGCTTCAAATTAAGTGTTCCAAATTAAAATAAGTTTTTTCAAAAAAATCAGCAACTTTAAACATGACGTCTTATGAATTACCAGACCATTTTTGTAAAAATCATTACCATTGAATTCATCAAACTAGATGAATTTAATGATAGTGTTTGGAAGTAACGATTCATTTTAATTTTTAGCAAAAAATTTAAAAAATTGATCCAGTAACTTTGGGACGCGATATATATATACATGTATCTCATGATCCACAAGTTCGATCCAGATGAAGATACCACGAATCGAATGGTGTATTTTTGTCCAGATTGAAATTGTGGATCACGAGATATCGCGTCCCCATTTTTTCCGTTTTTAAGCAAATAACTATTTAACGTTAAGGAAATACACAGTCTTTATAATGAACCCCCGCCCCGTTATAGACCCCCGCCCCGTTATAGTGGAGACTATTAAACGTTATAGTGAATAATATTCAAAACTGCCTCTAATAAAATCCACTCGATATAGTAGATTTACTAGTAAATTCGATATACATGTAGTGGATACTGTGTAATATGATAACATTGATGTATCTCCTCGACGAATAAGTCCAATATTTATTTGAGTTACAATTTTGGATGTCTATAGATGATTTACACCATATTTTTACCTCATTGTTTTTTTACAGGGATATTATAATTTTTCAGTGATTAAATGCTTAAAGGTTGATTTTATTGTTTGGGTAAGGGTTAGAGTGGAGAATAAAGTGATTTGCAAAATTTCCTCCCCGACATTTTTTATTAGAGCTCCAAGTTAGATTTAGACATCTGTTTCCCATATTATTCACATTTGTTTTGCTGGGTTGGTCAACACATAACGATAATGTATGCAGATTTTGTCAGACTTGTATATTAATGAAATAAGAGTTTCCTAATTAATATGATACATGTAGTCCTGTTCACTAAATGCATGTATGAAGAATCTCATATTTTAGTTATTTTATTTACTAAAAAAACATAGATATTCGGACAGGGATATGTATATCAATATGTTTACAAATACATCAAATAACCGGCTGCGCACAAACACACATTATATCAATTGTCGGCTGTGGGCAAAAACAATTGCTACAACACGAACAGCACGAACCGCCTCCGCTTCCATCGTCAATAGGTTTGATAGGATATCTGATAGATTTGACTTGAGCCGGAAGCGCAGATATATTGAGAGCGTAGATCGACAGTACAGCGAATGAAAGTAAAATAGTCTTCATTTCTTTATTGATATATTAACGTTAAGGGAGTTAGAATTTCGATATCGGATATTTCGTTTTTTTGTGCTTTAATTGAGAAATCTTTTTTCTAAATTGTGCAGTTTTATAGAAAAAATTTGCTGCAACTAAATACTTTCAGGGTAGTAAATCAGCTTTGCATGTCTCCCCTTGTAGAAAATTTAAATCTCAAGATTATAAAAATAACCAATTCGCGTATTTTCGGAAAATTCTACTGTAATAAATATTATCGTTAAATAATGGTTTTAAGATTAGGGCAAGGGTTACGGTTAGGATGGTGATCCAGCTACGTATATATAAAATTGTCTTCCCGACATTTTTTATTGATGCTCCAGACCAGATTTTGGTTTGTTTTGCCGGGTTGATCAAAAATTTATGCATTCTTATTAGCTGTTTTTTATCATAACCAAATTGGGTTGCACGCAGAAATTGCGCCAGTCTTGTTTTACTCATTTTGTAGAAAAACAATTGGTTTTACTAAAGGGGTACTTTATGCTGTATTGTTATTTATATATACATACACGTACCCTTAACGTTAAAATTTACTCAGTTAACATGCCGATTTTTTTACTAAGGTATTGACGGGGGGTTACATAATTATTCTTATCGTTATTATGCATTAAATTGCCATATTACATGTCATATGCTGTATCACATGCCATATGCTATATACATGTACCATTGGGCAGGAACATCAAAAGTTAAGTGAACTTCAAATTTTTGAATCTCACGTTTACGCGTTTTTTATCATTCTAAACTTTCGAATATTCACAATATAACACGTTAAAATGCCACCTAACAAAAAAGTCACAACAATATCTCGCGCACAAAATTATCCTGATGATTGTTACGCTGAAAATGGCATACTCATGTGTCATTTTTGCTCCTGTTCTATCAACTATGATAACCTTTCTTATATTACTTCGCATTTAAACTCTAAAAATCAAAAAACACAAAAAATGGAAAATCTGAAAACAACAAGGATTCAAACAATTATACGATCAGCAGAGTCCAAAAAAGCTGTAATAAACGAGTTTCTTAAGGCGTGGGTTAATGCCAATATTTCTTTAGAAAAGTGGATAAATTTCGTCCATTTTTAACAACCTATTGTCGTGAAGGTGGTGATTCCTGCTGCTGATACTTTGCGCCGCAAATATTTACCCGACATATTTGAAAAACATCTCCAAGCATTACATACTGAATTTAAAGAGAAACCCATAGCCATTATTATTGATGAAGCTACAGATTCTCAGGCTCACAGTGTTGTAAATACTCTGTTCAGTTATTGCAATTCATCAAAACTTGTATCAGTCGATTAACTGTTAATAATACCATTATTGGACAACTAGTGATTTGAATTTTGATTGAATGGTCTTCCTTTCTCAGTTCCAATAACTCTTTTTATCTGACTCAGCTGCATATATGAAAAAATGTTATAGAGAAGTTTTACATTTGATAATGTCACAACTTAAATATTATACTTGTTCTGCACATATATTGAACTTGATTAGGTAAATATTTAATCAAAAAATAATGTAATAATAATATAAATAAACTTATTTATTTATTTTAGTGAAGTATGAATTTTAATTACAGTTTGATATCATAAAAAATTATTAATGAATATTAAAAAATATTTATTTATTCAAAAAATTGCTGTAATTGTTATATGAATTACTTAATTCAGCATGGAATTCAAGAATTTTCTGTTCAAGAATCTCAAACTATCAATACAATATTAACTTTGTAATTTATATTCTATTAAATGCAATTAGATGAAATTCTTGGTTTAATATAACTTTATATTTATGATTATTTGGATTATATACATGAATTTTATAAAGAAGAGCAACAACAAGAAAAAAAGCAATTAATATTAATAATACTATTTTTAATAATTATCATAATAATATTTATATCAAAAATTATCTAGTATTTATTTAATATTAGATCAAACAATTTATTTTAGATTTAGATTTTTTTCAATATGAATATGATTCTCTTTTTTTCTTTATAGAAGGATATATTGAACAATTAGATATTTTTATTTTAAATAATATTTTTATTAATGATTTTGAATATCAATAATTCTTAAATATTATTCTGATTTTTTTGTATTTAATTCTATTTGTAAATTTTAATTTTCATTTTTTCAATTAACTATTAATAATTATGATATTCAAAAATATACTATTAATTATTTAATTCTTATTCAAGAATAATCTTTTTCTTGTAATTTAGACTTAACAACAATAAATTATAATTAATTTCATATTTTTAAAATAAGAATACATTTTATTTATTTCTTTTAAGTAATATAACTTTAGATTATATTTGATTATCTATTTTTTTGTATTATTAAAAGAAGTTTTTTAGCATATAATAATATTTTAGTAAATAATTCTTAATATTATATTTTAATTGTACAAAAAATAAAATTGTTATTCAAATAAAATCAAATTTTTCATGTTATCCAAATAATTTTTTAAAATCAAAACCAAAATTTTCAGATCTTTATATTGGGATATTCAATTAATTAATTAAATTAAATATTAATCAAGTTATATTGAATAATATTTATATTAATATAAAAATTTTTACTAAAAATTAATCTATAATAGGAATTATTTATTAAAAATAATTAATATATTTTTAGATCTATAATTTATCACTCACTATTTTCTTTGATTCTTTTAAAACAAAATAATTTTTATGCATAATATATAAAATATTATATTATTATATTTATATTTATATTATTAATTAATTTTATGAATAAATATTTTAAAAACAATCTTTTCTTTAATTATAATTATTATTAATTTTAAACTTGAAAACTTGTAGATTTTTAAGCTATAATATAAAATTAAAAATATAATTTTGTTAATAATTATATAAAATTAATATAAATAAAGTTTTATTTTAATTTAATATATAGTTTTAACTATACATTTAAATTTGTTATCAGATTTTGAATATTATAATATAAATATATACAAATTATATAAGTGTTAATTTCAATTAAAAAAAGCTGTAAAAAAAGTATAAAAAAATATTACAATACTTCTTATAATAATATAATCAAAAAAATAATAAATTAATAAATCAAAAACAATTTAATATAATTCTTACTATAAAATTATGAAATAATAAACATAAACATTATTTCAAAAATTACATTTCTAAAAATAGAATATATTATCTCAAAATAATACTCATAAATATCCTGAAATAATATATATCTATTAGTATATATAATATATATATATATATATATATATATATATTGCACTAAAAGTAAAAATAAGTTATATAAATCATATTTGTTTTTTTAATTTATATATATTATAAAACTAATTTTTGTAAAGTAAATTCATAATATGAATAATTTGGTTTAAAATATAAGATTAGTAATCTGAACTTTCTTAATATTAATTATATACAAGTATTCTATATTATATCTATTATTATTTATTATTAATATTATTACCGTAGTAACATAAATTTCTCTAATTCGATAATCTTTCTTTGATTATGCGAAATTCCCTTTTTCTTAATTTT